TAGTAGCGTCCTTGCTCCTAGTAGCGATGCCAGGAGCCCCTAGTAGCCTCCTTGCTCCTAGTAGCGATGCCAGGAGCCCCTAGTAGCTTCTTGTTACTTCTTCGCCTTGTTTGCCCAAAGATTATGTCCAGTCAAATGACAGTATCCGAGACAATGCTCTCCTGAAGGCATTGGTGTACGAGAGGAGGATGCAGCTTTAGTCATTGAGGGCCTGGTGAGGAAAGTTGAGGCCTGAACGTTAATACAGTGCTGTAAGCATCAATCAACTACAGATAATACGGATAAACCATGGATGCACCATCGCCGAATCAGTAAATGCAGACAACGACCAATGAACCGGAGTGGACACCATGCCTGCAGGAGCTTGAGAGACGTCGTGCTGAGCTTCAGGTGCCCTGATTGAGTTGCAAGCAGGGCTAGCAGGGCCTGACAAACATTAACAGTGCCCAACTCTGAAGAGACCTGCTCAAAGATAGATTTGCAGCTCTCCTGATTGAAAGACACAACAGGTCCCAAAACTTGCAAGACTCTGCCCCAATTTCTCAGCCTTTCAGCATTGACAGGGACAGCAGCAAGGAGACGCGGAGCGTTTTGAGAAGGCGTGAATTCTGCAATTGTTACTGTAGCACATTTTGGGACTCTTTCGGTCTTTCATTCTTGAACGCTTTCATAGTTGCATGGTACAGCATGTACTGTATCTCATATCTCCCTAGGCCCTACACAGACATGCAGACTGTTATAACTGAAGTAGTTGCTTAATGATTCCTCAACAGGAAGCTTCGTTTTCTGCTGTTCCCCAGATAGCGCAAGCTATTGGGTTAAGAGGTCCCTGTTTGCGCTCTGGAGCCTGGGTGCTGGTGCCGCTGCAGGGAGCTGCCCACAAATGTTTTTCCTATTGGTGGGGTAATCTTTTCTTGTTTTTTGGGAAGGGAAGGTAGAGTGACCATGGAAAAGGCAGAGTTTTTACCGAGCTCTCAATGGGCTTCAGAAGCTTTGCAACAGATCGCTTCCATGGTTGTTTGAACTCCTCGCATTTTGGCCCTGACAACTTTAGTTTCCTGACAATGTGCAGGGTTCTGCGGTTTGCTGCACATGGGCGCTCGTAACATACACCGCGTTTGCTTAAACGCACTACGTGGGAACTACTATCCTAGCCTTTTTCTTGCAGTATCAACACATGGATCGGAGACACTGTGACGGTGGGATACTGTGCTGTGCTGCAAGATAAACGCTCGAGAGGTGGGAAAGCTAACAACCCTCAGAAGCACTGACTGCCCAGTCTTCGATGTCGTAGGTGAAGGCGGCACTTTTGGAGAAAATTGAGACGTCTTCCCAAAAGTTGTTTGTGCCCAAGAGTTCCGATGGGTGCCGCTGAGAACGGCGAAACCAAGTGAGAGGTGTGTGATGGGCTGGTTACCCGAGGCAAACGGCAAAGATCCAAGCTGCACGCGACAAGGAAGCAAGTCAAGAGCGACAAAGGACACCGGGTGGCGTGGTGGCGAACACAGGCTTATTTGATCTTATTTGCATGGTCTTGCAATTCATCAGCATTCAAAGGACAAGACAGGAATTGTTGAGCAAGGCCCTTGATGCTGATAATCATTCTGTGCAGGGGACGGCCGCTTCTATTGTCTCTGTGTGGTCAGGACTTTGGCCCAACAGCAAACGTATGCATCAAATCTCCTTACCCAGCAGGCTGGATCAAACGCAGAGCAAATACAAGTGATCTCCGATCAGTGACAGATTCAGATGAATCATCACATATGGTCACGAGTCACAAGGCAAATGGTGATGATATTGCAGGAAGCGAAGCTGAAACTCCTGAAGAACCACATCGAAGACTATGCTGCGAGGACCGTTTCCTTCCTTGAAATATATATATATATATATGGCTGAAACTGGTCAAGAACCCTGGTGAGCTGTCGATGTGGGTCTCCGGATGAGATTTGCAAGAGTAGCACCTGGCATCTTGCAGGATCAAGGAGTTGTTCAGCCTGATGAAGAAGTGCAAATGCCTCGCGGAGGCCGTGCTTTGCAGAGTCAAAGAAGCAGCTTTTGACGAGTCAAATCCAGGGAGACTCCGTCTGGATACCACCTTCAGAGGCAAGACTGCATCCGACGGCACAAGTGTAGGAGAATTGCAAGGAAAGGAGGCACAAGTGCACCTTAAGCTCGTCTCAATTGGAATTCCCAGGTGTCCACCACAACGACAACTGCTACTAGTACAACCACAACAACTTCCACTAGCACTCCAGTGTCACAGGCTTGCATGACAGCATCGAGCCCAAACTTACACATTTCTTTTGCCAACGGACGCAGAGCGGCACAGGTTGGCCTTGTCCGCGAACGCAAAGCAACATGCTGAGCTTTGAATATCGAGATAGACCAACTCTTTACATCTCTTTACAGTGCATTTGCCTGAATTTGAAATCATTTGCACCCATCCGTTAAATTCAGCCTATGAGTTCTCTAATCTTAGACTCGACGTGCTTAAACGGTTCATTTCTTCGACTTTAGGACAGTTGCATCGATGCAGTTGTTCCTGCAACCATCAGGTGAAAGAAGTCCTTGCAAATCGCTCCGTCGAGCTACCTGTCAGAAGCTCAAGAGCAGCTCGTTTTGTAGCTTACCGTGGGCCATGAGGTGCATGAGCAAGTCTAGGGCTTATTAGACTTTGTCATGAACACTTACCCAGCAATGCCTGTTTGGTGGAAATCGAGTGTCCAGTTTGTGCAATCACGGGGCTGGCTTCCGCTGAAGGAAGCAGAAGCAGGCGTCACGGTGTACAACTCCTGGGATGTAGATATGGAGCGTGAGAAAATGAAAGATGCCAACATCAAGATCTACCAGGCACTTGCAACTGGGCTATGATCGGTGCGACAAGTGACCAGTGCAAATTGTGTATTGGCAATATATTTTTAACTTTACTCCCATTCTTGGAATTTGATGAATTGAGTTGTGGCGAGATCTTAGGCAAGCGACCTGACTGTGCAGCGAGGCTGCAATTTCACAGTGGCTTGGTTGGGCACTGCATGAGATGAAACGTCATCATGCTAGATGACAATGACGTTCGAATCAAGCAGACATCTGACAGTACTGCCCTCTCATTTGCTCTCCCTTCAACCATGTGTTTTTGCATAGCTTCAGCGAAAGTCCTTGAATCGATGAATTGCAACAGGAAGACGGTACAACATTGCATTCAACTGGACATGAGTAGGCAATTCTTAGTGATGGTATGACATAAGCTTGAATAAGATGATACACACCCTCTGGAGACACAAACAAAAGTAGAAGCACTCTCACGGCCAAGGCATTGCTGAATAGACCCGCCAAAGCCCGCCAAATTTGGTGTAACTTGACTGCAATGTAAAGAGAAACGAGAAGGACAAAAGAAGGTAAGGGCTTTTTAATAGCGGCCTTATTAAAGAGACGCCCTTATCTTCTTTCTTGGATAGGGTTATTCTTTCAATTCTTTATCCATTTGACAGAGCACCACGCTTAGGCCATCCTGGGCCTTTTTGGGGCATAGCTCAAGAGACTTCTTCAGACTTGATTGGTCAAGGCCCTTGTTCGGCTGCGCAAGAACCAATGATTGGCTGCTTGCGCAGCTGCTTGTGGAGACAAAGCACGACAGGTATGGTGCACGACATGATTGTACTTCCTCCATCCGGTTCTGGCGAGAAAGAGTTCATGCTTCTACGTTGCTCGGAGGAAGACCTCGTAAGCGAAACACAGACTTGATGCTACCTGATTCCGTGCACGAAAAGGAAGATGTCATTCCAGGAGAGTTGGACCCCCCAAAACTTTTGAACAACTGTGCTTTCACTGCTAGAAAGATTGGAAGTGGTTGAACTTTGGTACACCCATGACTCAATGATTGTGTACTTTCCATTCCTTGAAAATAACCTGCACGTGCCTGGAGAATGCCACGAGGCTTTGAGATTCCAAGTGCTGGGGAGTACACCTTGGACCTTTTTGGAACGCAGGGCATAGAAGGCGGCAGACACGCATACATGCTGAAAAACCAGTGAGACTCTCTGAGACATCGGACAAAGATGACAAACAAAGAGGACGAAGAGTTCTCAGAGATTGGATGTTTTTGATGCAATGGATTTCTAGGTGCTTGTGCCAATGCATTTCTCTTCATCAATGGCGAGGAGCGTATTGCGGCTAAAGCCTCAGGATTTGCCCATCCTCTGAAATGCTCCAGTTTCTGATTGTTTTCTTTATTTTACGCAGTCCAACCGGGAACGACTTTGTGTTTTCTACTTGCCTAAGTCTAAGCACGACGCCGACTGTTTGCTGCCCACAACTACCAATGGAAGGAACATAGTGCCCCAGCTGCTTTCCGTGTGGTTTACTGCCATTGAGCTGAGTTGCAAGCGTGTTGTGTTCCAAACTACTGGGAGGGAGAGAAGACATGAGAAGCATGCAGGTACACAACTTGGGGCAACTGGCAGCTGGAGACCTTCTCTACTTCGCGGTTGCACCTGGCAACGATGTCGCAAAGGATGGTGTGAAAGTCCGCTTCAGGATTACTGGGGCGAAGCAGGCACTCCCCACTGAGAGTCGTGCAATTTTTCAGAGAAACAAGTATGAACAAGCCAACCTAGACATTGGGATTGTTGTTTGGATTCGGCAAATTGTACAGAGCCATTTCCCAAAATTGATAAACACATATATCGATTCTTCAGGAACAGCCATTGCCTGCGCCTTGCTCTTGACTTTTCTTTCTTGCCACATTTGGTTCAAGTGCGGACTACCCCCGGATAACTGTAAAGAATCGGCAGTCTCTTAGACTTCATGGCGGATGTGGAGAAGGCGAAGGCAAGGGAGGAGACTGGACGGAAACCCAACGACCTAAGCATGGACGACAAAGTAAAGATTGCCATCGAGCTGAACGCCCTTCGCGAGAAATGGTCGGAGCAGTTCTTTCAGGACAACCCGAAGTCGGTGAACTTCTTTGGTGTCACCATGGACTCAAACAACATGCCAGCCATTCAAATTGGGGTGGATCCAGCTGCAGACGAAGCATCCCTCGTGATTCCAGAGGAACTCCGGGGCGTAAACTTGGTCTTCAACAAGGTGCGTCGAGCACCACAAGCTCGTCCCCTGAGGAAAGTAGTTTGTACTGAGAGTGAATGACTCTAGTGTGAACAGATTCTCATTGCATGCCTAGAACGGGAGGGACGCTGTACAGTTTCCCGTGCTGGCAAAAGAAAGCACTGCTTGGAGGGAATGTGCTTTGTACCCTTCTGAGATGCGGGTGGTCCTCAGTGCTCAGCCAAGTTTCTTGGTTTCCTTGGCTTTCGGGATGCCGCAGCCGGAGGTGAGAGCAGTGACGAGCACAACTTCCATGGTGGCCACAGTGCTCTGGCAGCACCTTTTTCCTTTTTCTAAAAGACAATCGTTTGTGTTTTGGGCCCTGAAACTTTGGTCCAGTGTTCTGTGGTGTTCTGACCATTCTCCCACCCAGTCAGTGGACGAAGCAAGGCTTGGGAATGCCTGCACCAAGGCCTTCTGATTGTCAGCCAAAGGCGCTGTCCAACGGAGGCCCAGAAAGGGAGAAGTGTTGCAAGGATCCGAAAGAAAACCTTGGGGACTCTTTCTTTGTGATTGCGGGGGCCATTTCTGCGGAGTTTGAAGCGTGTAGAGGCAAAACTTTAAGCATTTTGATGGATCTGCAAGCAAGTTGAGTGCAGTTTGACTTCCAGATGCCTATGCACATCGTTGGAAGCAGAACAAGAATTAGGAACATATGTTCAAGATTGTTCAAGTAGTAAGGTTTTTGATTTGCGGTCGTGCCAGAGTGCAAGTGCAACATTGCCAAGGCAGAATCTGAGTCGCCCAAGGTTTCACATTCGCATCTGCAAAAAGAAGATCGAGGGCAGCTGCGTTCTGGGTAGCTACACTCCAGGAGCTAGTTTGATAGCTTGAGTTGCTTGCCAGTCTTTGTCTACTTGAACGACATTCCAGAGACTGACGGGGGAGAGACCTTCTTCCCACACCTGGGGCTGAAGCTTGGCTTTTTCAGGTGTTAAGACTTGGAGACGCCTGCTTTGAGACTGCTGTGATTTATTGAATTCTTAGCATCGCAAGGAAGTTTATTCCTCGTTCCCTGGCTTCAATGAGCCCTTGGTCGGTGCAATTGACAAATCCAGTACAAGGGCATCGCTACTAGGAGCAAGAAGCTACTAGTAGCTCCTGGCATTACTACTAGTAACAAGGACGCTACTAGAGGAGAAGTTTAGTTGCTTTTTTCTTGAGAAATTCGGGAGAAACGACTCGCCAGACTAAGGCAAGGCGTGGTGGGAAGCAATGAGCAGCCGTGGGGCTACGCAAAGATTTTTTTACACAGTTTCCATTTTTCTTGGTTGTGAGACTGCAATGGCTCTGGGAGCTTTACTTAGACAACTGACGCAATCCTGTCGCAGGGTGCTGCAGTGATGTGGTCCAACATCATCTCTCCTGGAGTGGAAGACAATCGAACAATCCATTTGGGTATGCCCCCAAGGATGGAAGCTGATTCTCATTGACATGCGGAAAGGTAGGTGTCTTTCATGCTTGTGAGGAGATCCACAAAGTATGGAGTGAATTGCTTCTTCAATGAGAAGCCTCTCAGGGAGTGGGAGGCCTTCACACTTTGCTGTTTCTTGCAAACCAAGAACTTCTGTCACTCTCAGGCAGCCAATGGTGGAATTGGAGGTGTGAATTTGAGTAATGAATCATCAAAGTTTCGCAAAAAATCTAAGAACCAAATCATTAGTGCGTGAGCTATCCGGCGTCCCTACCTAGAAGCTAACTCACCCTAATAGCTTACTCTCCTCTCTTACCCTAGCAGGCTCAAAACAAAGTCTCTCAGGTCTACTTGCTCTTGTCTCTCGTTTTTGTTTTGGACGACGCCAAAATCGTTGATACAGGGCAGCTACCTTGGCGACAAATAGACCCAGCGCTGCTGTTGAAGGCGCGGACGCCCAAAAGCTTATGGCATTGAATCTCTGTGGACCTTGCAGGAGGACCAAACCAATGTGCGGCCTGGTCAACTACGAGCTTTTGCTCTCAGCGAGGATCAAATGATAACCAACTGGTGTTTAGTTGCAGGTGATTCACCTTGTTGTCATTGTCATTGTCGTTGTCGTTGTCGTTGTGGTTGTGGTTGTGGTTGTTGTAGTAGTAGTTGTATAAGAGTACACTTTTCACTCTACTCTGGTCGATTCACCTTCTTTTGGTCCTGGTGTAGATTTGCCAAGCTTGCGTGGCAGGATCCTAAAGTCCGAGTCATACCACAGGCGATCTCAAGGCATCAAGTATGACACTCAGGTTTTAGTTGGAAGAATCATGCTGTAACAATCTCTTGATGATTGCGTTGCCAAGGTGGAAGCCCTGCTAGCTCTTTTGCAGCCTTCTGGAGATCCAACTGTCCAATATAGCACGCTTTTGACATCTTTTGACAGCTATTTTGAGAATCGCTCTGAACTCTCAGTGACCGAAAACCTACTGCGAACATGGCCAGGGTGATCCCGACATCTTTGCCAGGCCAACTTTCTTGCTTTTCCGAGCTCCACGTACATATCACGAAAGCTAGCGAAGCTAGCTGGAGTTACTCTTGCGATAGCAAGGTTTCTTTCGACCGGGTGCAAATCCTAACCCCTGATTTTTCAGGTCGAAGCCCCCCCACCTCCCCTCTCCCCACCTCCCCTCTCCCCACCTCCCCCCCTCTCCTCCTCCTTGTCTTCCTCCCATCTTCCCTCCCTCCCTCCTCCCTCTTCGCAAGTTCGACTCCGTCCTGTCGTCGCTCTTTGGCATGCGGTTAGCGTTGCGTATCTTGCGGCCGCACTCGCTCACTCTCACTCTCACTCTCTCACTGTCTCACTGTCTCACTGTCTCTCTCATCTCTCTCATCTCTCTCATCTCTTTCTCATCTCTCTCATCTCTCTCTCCTCTCTCTCTCTCTCTCCTCTCTGTCTCTCGTCTTTCCGTCTCTCTTCTCTCTCTTCTCTCGCAGGAGGATCGGGGCAAAGAGCCACATATAAAGGACTCTTCACCCCTGCCTCCAAAAAGAGCGCCGTGTTTTTTCCTACCTCGCTGCCCTCCACTTTCCCATTCTGGAGCGCTAGCTTTCGCCCCCCCTTGGCCTCAAGTATTTTTATCTAGCTATGTAATTAAGGGAGGACAACGCGACTGTGCGAGATGCCTTTTGAAACTCTACAAGGCTGTTCACTGACCATCATCTCATCTCATTGTCTCATTACTTGATTCGACTCTGTCTTTCGTGCCAGCATCGAAAGACGCGTGGCCATGGTGGCTGGCCAGTCTCTCGAGAACATGGAGCCATTGAAAGGTGCCAATCTCCAATCTCTTTGCTCTCAGTCTTAGCACCCGCAACTCTTTTGTTGACTCTTAGCCTTCACTTCAAAACCTAGAGTTGTGCTGATGGCCATGATACTGGAACTTTACTTGTACAAGATCACGTCGATAACTTTCTATTCTCAGTTCTGACGCAGCTTTGAAGCAGCTGGCTCTTCTAGTCACTCATGCAGACTACAGCAAGGAAATTCATTCACTGCAAACCTCCAAGGCAGCTACACGATGAATGAAGCAACCTGACAGAAACAGACTTGGCATTGAATCATTAAGTTTCATGGTGCCCAGTCATCTCACCACACCAGAACTTACAAGAAATCGGACTCTTCACGTCCAAGAAGCTGGACTGACTTGAAACGGAGAAGGCGCTGCCGACCGCCGAACTGTTCTTGGGAACAATCTGTACTCTGGCTGTGCGAAGTACTGAAGCTCAGATGCTTCTTGCTCCTAGTAGTAAGGCCAGGAGCCCTTAGTAGCGTCCTTGCTCCTACAACATCGCTCTTGTTGAGCAATTCTTCAACGGCGGATGAGGTTGGGTTCTCTTGCTAAGGATTGATGGAGGAAGTCCAAGAGGAGGATGTGATCATAGAAGAGGTTCCCAAGGAGGCAGCTGAAAGGGTACCTGGTAGTCTAGAACCCTTTGTCCAAAAGTCTCACAGGGCCTCTCTTGCTCTTTTTGCACATTTTTCTGGACAAACAAGACAGGCGACTGAGACGACCACTGCAGGAGCTGTCACGAGCAGGGGATTCGGGGCAAGTCATTCTTGTTCTTTCCCGCAGGTCGCATAACTTTTGGTCCGCTAATGTGAGAGGAGACAGGGAGGAGGACAAGGGTGAAGAGGAAGAGGAGGCAAGCTAAGCCGCGTTGGTCAAGCAAGCACTCTTGATCTATTTAAGATGCTTGAAATTGTGCAGGATGAGTGTGCAGCGGGCGAGGAGGAGGAAGAGGAGGAGATAGCAAGATAGCACGTCAGTACGATGAGCTAAGCCTTCAAGAAAATGCACACGCATTCTTTGCTTTGCCTATATTATATATGCAAGATTGTACAATCGAGAATGCGCCAGACATTGTGGTGCTGAATCTAGCTTGGTGTATATATGTATATCCCTAAGAAATGCAGTGATATGCAACCATCACTCCAGAGGGGTTCATGGACATGTTCTCTTGGAGTTCCTTTTTTCCCCACTTGTCAAAAGATGTGATTTGGCCTCGATCTCTTGATTGATGTTGATTATGTTGCGGAGGACACCAGAAGTCCTGCAGACAAAGCGCTAGATTTGCTCGAAGAAGCTGACAACTAAGTAATTACCTGATCAGCGCTTTAGGTTTACCAAGCAACAACTCTTGAATTTGCCTTCCTAAGGAGAAGAAAAAGATGAGCCCTTTGGAACAGTTGGAAAGATCGCTCCTTTGGAAGGTACCCGCAATGCACGATCGCTGCACGTTGGCGTACGTCAGTGCCAAACTGCTTAGCTTTTATTTGGAAGTTCTTTGACATTCTTTCACCCTTCTCCCGTCACTTCTCAAAAGAATTGGCTAAGAGCATTGTTTAGCAAGCATGCGGATTGGCTGTTTCAGGTCGAGGGCAATGAGTTCTTCAAGAAAGGGGAGCTTTTCAAAGCCGCAGACTGTGGATGTCTTAGGAAAGATCGTTTAACAGGGCATCTGACTTTGATTAAGTTCTCACCGCTAGATTCGAGCGTGAGGCTACTACCACTCAATTGTTTTTGCAAGAGTGCTCACCTTAGTCATAGTCTCTCAACAAGGCATTCGTGCCAACATAAAATTCCCATCTCGGCACCAGCCAACACCAAAACGTAAATGCAGCCTGGTTCTTTGGAGGACCTTACCAAGAATCCGCAGCACTATCCGGAGCTCAAGCATACGCGGGGAGCTTGCATTCAAACACAGACCGCAGTATGACGATATGCATCACATGAATTCTACTTGACTGCAAGTCTCTAATTTGAGCGCATTGGTAGTCTCAGTTTAGAAGTATGCATTAAAGCCCAGAGATCCTCCCCGATTTTTTTTTGGTTCATTTTTGGGTTCATGTAGCTATCACTGCACTGAGGCATCAAGAAATGACCAAAGCCAAGGACAGAGTGTAGATTGGAAGCCAAGCCTTGGTCCAGATTGATCATTTTCCAACCAAATAGGGATGGCCTCCACCCTAACCTCCTGCGGGCTTTGAATGATAGCTGCCATGTTCGGATGTTGGGGCCTGTTAGCTTTATTGGAATTCTTGACCATGGCTTGAAGACGCGAGGAGCTTTGCGAGTCGGTTTTTACTAACTTGGCGAAGCGGCCTTGGTTGATCAGGGCAAAACAAAGCAGCAATTCCACCTTTCAATCTGGAATAAGCAGGAAGCTATTAGGAACAAAGGGCATCGCGGCATCGCTACTAGGAGCAAGGACGCTACTAGGGGCTCCTGGCCTTACTACTAGTAACAAGAAGCTATTAGGAACAAAGGGAGGGTTGTGATCCTTTGAGGCTGGTGCAGCTGAAGTACGGCTGCAGCTTAAGCCCTGAGAACTCCGAACGACACAAGGCTTTCAAAACTTTTGTCTGCAAAGGTTGTGCAAGCGTCCTTTTATCATTTGTCTTCCCAGCATGACTCCTAGGTCCTAGCTGTTTGATTCAACAGAGAGCCAGGTTTTTGAAGAGGGGGTGAAATCGGCCTCACAAGCCTTAAAGCTCAATGCCAAGAATGTGGGCGGCTCAGTTGACTGTATCCGCTTGTTCCTTGAGAGACCTTAACACGATTGTGTTTGCTGTAGAACTAGGGAAGGCGCTTGCTGGCAGATTGTTCATGTGCCTTGAATCATCGGAAGAGGTCAAAGCCCTCTACAGAAGAGCAGCGACAAATGCAGTTTTGGCTAAAGATTGCAAGACTAATTCAGAGGCAAGTATTGGCTTTCACTCCCAAGAAAGCATCGAATGACTAAGAAAGCGCTTTCAAACTGTGTCTGGAAAAGGATTGCTTGGTCAGAGCGTGGAATCTGCGAGGCGCAGGAGATCTGTGCTGAAGTGAAATCTGATTTAGTGAAGGTGATCGAAGCCCCTCGGCATACTTGGCACATGTAGTTCTTGGGCACAGAGAAGGTGTATTGTGAGCTTTGGCAAGGGAGAGGTCATGCTTGGAGGGGTGTTCCTTTTCTAGGTGAACAAACTCAGATAAGGGCAGACTGAATCCAGGCTTCGTCGCAAACCATTTGGCTTCGAAGCCAACAGCCGTTTCTCCCCGTTTCTGTAGCAATAAGCTTCAAGAGATTTCCAGGCCGAGCCACAAAACAAGGAGGCTCGGGCCGAGCTGAAAGCAATTCAGGACAGCACGAGTTTGGATATGCCTCAGTGTTGTAAGAGTAAAGTGATTATCAGCTGGAGGCGGTATTCCAACTCTGCAAGGAGCATTTAAAGCAGCTCAAGCGTGAAGAGCGAGAAGGCGACACATGTCCACGAATGTCCTTTCTTTGTGTCTGCGATTCTCGAGGATGGGAAAGGCAATAATATAAATAGAGATAAATAGTGTGTGAGCCCTGTGAGCCATTGAACCCCGACATCTTCACCTCTTTCGCAGGTGAGAAGAGGGAATTCTCCTTCGCAAGCACACTCTCTGGGATGGGCTTCAAGGCTCAACCGTATTTCTGCTTGGGTGTGGGCCAAACAAATCCGCAATCAAGTGTAGCCTCAGAAGCAGTTGCTTGAAGTGACGAATGACAACGCTGCGAGATTTGAATCCCAATGGAATTTGGAAATCAGCAGCATATTTCCCTGTTCCTTGCAGCCCAAAAGCAGGCACTCTGTGTAATTTTTCATGCGAACCACCTCCATGCTTCCGGATGCATGTTAGACAACAAATGCAATTTTCTTCTGGGCACATGTGAATGCAAATGCAACACGCACACACACACACACAAACACCTGTGTCTCTCATGCTCACCCAACTTTGTTTTTCCTACAAACAGAACGTCATTGTCTTGACCCCACCCCCATCTCACACACACACAGCTTTATGATACACTGCGCGCACCAGGGAAAACATGTGAAATGGCTCTGACAGTGTGCGGTGCAACCGTGTGTCGTGGTGGACCGGAAAGCCAGTATTCAAGTAAAAGCTGATGTAGCTAATAGCGATGCACTTGTTACTAGAAGCGATGCACTTGTTACTAATAGCTTCTTGTTACTAATAGCTTCAGCTAAGTGGTATCATTTGACATGTCTCAGGAGAAGGACCTGCTGGGAGATGGCTCTGTTCGCAAGCAGCAGGTCTCCGCCGGAGATGGTGGCAAATGGCTCAACAAGGCGCGGACGATAAGTTCGCCTAAGAATCTAGGAACCAAATAAGTTGGTGTGCAGGGTTGTTCCAGGAAGCTTTCTTGAAGAACCAGAGAATCTTCTGCGTCCCAGCATGTAGTAGCTACTTCTGCGTCCCACCATTTTTAGATCTCGCTTCTTTTGCAGGGGTAGACAGCTTCTTCATTTGCGACCACGCCCCTTCCCATTCCCTGCCCCCTGTGTGGCACAGGGGGTTTATTGTGGAAGAGTAAGACAGACTTTTGGCAGAGAGAACTTCTTATGCATATCATAGACTCTTCATGCCTTCGTGGAGTGTTATGGACTCTATCGATGCAGGACTGGCTCGACTGGAGTTCACCGACAAAATGCTTGGCTCCAAATAAGTTTCTTATACCCCGACAAGTCTTCCTTCGACCAGCTGGTGGTAGCACCAACAAGGCGTTATCCACATTGCGGTCAGCTCTGTGGAAGAAGGCCTGAAGCACGCAACAAATAGAGCACCGCCTGATCATTCGAGTTTGAGTAAAGCACGTCTAAGGCCATTCTGTCCCTGTGGGAGCGCTCAGTGATGCTTCGCAACTTTGAAAGCTGTATGCATCACATTCACCTAGGAGCAAGGACGCTACTAGGGGCTCCTGGCATCGCTAGGAGCAAGGATGCTAATAGTAGCTCCTGGCTACAATGTCAAAGTTTCCAACATGGAGCTAAAGGTAAGCCTCTCCTTCATCCTGGGCGATCCGGACATGCACGAAGGCAGTGCTGTGGAATAGTTTGACTCATCCCATCCTTTAAGTGTCCTAGGTATTCACCTCGCTGTCAAGTCCATGACCAAGGGCGAGGTGCTGCAAGGAGAGGATGGTGCATTTGTCAATTCCTTCTCACGTCTGCAGGTCTCAAACTTTACCTTCTCAAGTGAGAGACTCGCTGCAAAAAGTGGCCTCACAAGACTCTTGCCAAAGCTTCAGGCTGGAAAGGGTCTTTCATTACACGCTGATACGCAAGGCACAATATCGCACTCTATTTAGTTTTGTACATTCATGTGCATGCGAAGACACCGCACCCAAATTTCATATTCCATGTATGATCATGTATGCACATAGATCTTCAAGAGCAATCTGATAGCGACGTCCTCACCCTACAGGATGTGTGCAAGTGGCAGATCGAATTCCAGAAGTTCGTGACTTGGGAAGACCTGGATCGAAATGGAGAAAGGTGCAGCTTCTGCGGATGCACAGTTCATGCTCTAGGTCACTTGGTGAGAACACATGTTCTTCAGCTTTCAATTCAGTCTCAAACGCAGTTGGATGTTTTGGAGGCTTCGAAAGATCCACGAAGAAGGATACGGGGCCACCTTTGCTGAAGACCTTTCGGAGGAGGGGAGACACAAGCGAGTTAGTTTCTTCTATTATTTCGACCGATTCGACCTATTCTTGCTATTCCGAAGGTCTTTACACACTGGCGGCTCATTGGTCCCGACAATCAGCTGGTGCACTCTACGAGGCATAGAATGGGACCAGGATGGAATGGTTTTGGCTTTGCTGGCACGCATTTCCTGGAGGGTAATATAATGCTTTGAAACATACCTGAATCAGATTTGCGAGAATGTTTCAGGTACACAGTAAGCTTGGGCAATGGCCAAGACATGAAGCAGGTGGAGGATGAGGAGCAGTGATCGCGTAGCATGCCTGGTGAACATATTTGCAAGCCTCTCAGTTGTGGATGTGCTGTACATGAGCTTCATAGGATTATAGGAGGACTCTTAGGAGGACGTCGATGCTTCAAATCATCAGGACAAAGTGGCTCCCTCCTTCATCGTTGGAGAATCGGTCAAGCCCACAGACTTTTCGAAGTGTGAGTGTGTACGAGCATTGGAACACGAACAACAAAAGCTAGGTACTGTTGACCACTGTCGAAAGACCTACTAGTGCATTCTTGCTGCTCTTGACCTCTTTGCAACAAGTTGTGCAAATCGAACCTGCCTATCATGCTTCATAAATAAGCCACAAACAAAGGGCACATAGGGCATAAGTTTCACTTTGCACAAAAGCTTTGAACGATTGTGCACGATTCAACATGATTGAACACTGTTGAACGCATAGTACCATGCAGATGCGGCCATTCCGCAATTTGGTCCCCCAATTTGATACAGCATGTTTCTTTGAGTTTCTAGGCGTGGTCTCCTGTAGCAACCCTTTGCCGCTCTTTGCGGCAAGGAGGAGTCTGGGAGCCCAGCCACAGCTTTGCACCTTTTCAGACCTTGTTTAAATCATTCTACATTATTCTATATACTCTTTGATAGACGAATGGTTCGAGGTGGCGGAACTACGTCTCAAGAATGTGCCGGAACTCCCCAAGGAAAGCTTGTAGAATATCTTTCCAGCGGCATAGAGCAGGTATTGCAAGTCTTTGCCTGCATCATGTAGCAGTTGCAACAACACACAAGGATCCGAATGGAGATGATGTCTCAGCCAAGCTCTCCCTGATGATGAATCGTGGGTCTACCGTACCTGACTCAGAACAAATGGAGACGCAGGAGAGCAGTATATTGCTGCACTACCCACAGTACTTTATCTACAGGAAACCCGGTCTAGAGTCACCTCCGAGGCCAAGCTCAGCCATTGCACAGTCAAAGTGGAACTGGAACGAGTGGTGCGCAGCTTAGCGTTCATAAGCTACTAGTAGCGTCCTTGCTCCTAGTAGCGATGCCCTTTGTTACTAGTAGCTTTTGGTTACTAGTAGTAAGGACGGGAGCTACTAGCAGCGTCCTTGCTCCTAGTAGCGATGCCCTTTGTTACTAGTAGCTTCTTGTTACTAGTAGTAAGGCCAGGAGCTACTAGTAGAGGCCTTGCTCCTAGTAGTGATGCCCTTTGTTACTAGTAGCTTCTGGTACTAGTGGCGTCCTTGCTCCTAGTAGCGATGCCCTTTGTTACTAAGTGGCTTCTGGTTGCTAGTAGTATGGCCAGGAGCTACCAGTAGCGTCCTTGCTCCTAGTAGCGATGCCCTTTGTTACTAAGTAGCTTCTGGTTACTAGTAGTAAGGCCAGGAGCTACTAGTAGCGTCCTTGCTCCCAGTAGCAATGCCCTGTGTTACTAGTAGCTTCTTGTTACTAGTAGTAAGGCCAGGAGCTACTAGTAGCGTCCTTGCTCCTAGTGTTTCTTTGGGTGCCACAAGACCACAAGATGTCATTGCTGTCATGTCTCAGCAGAATGAGGTGCCAGCTGTCGCAGGGCCCGAGGATTCGAGGTGGCAAGGTTCAAGCACCTTGGTCCAGGACGGGACGTGCAAAAGGGCCTTTGCCTTTGCCATTCGATTGCCGTTAAGACTTTGACGTGATTCCAAGGATTTTTTTTGCACGCCTTTTCAGAACGATTCATGTGGACTTGGGTGATCCGCTTTGCAGTGCTCACATGACACAGCATGGCATAATTTTCGGAGACAAAGGACACAAGTGAATAAAACAAAGAATAATTATGTGGAACTACTGCAAACTAAGTACACACTATACCTGGCATATTCCTTTGTTGTTGTTGAATACTCCTGTTATCGTTTCGGATACATACACTTGCGTCATGATCGGACATGCGGCAGGAGCGCTTCCATGCAGAGCAGCTTTTGGAGCAAGGCGCCAGTGGCACACGCTAAACACGCTTTGCTTTGCCGCCTATGTGGTAAGGTTGAGCAATTCCTCAGCCCGAAAGCATTGGGACACGACTATATATACTATGTGTGCGCAGACATACACGGGTTACATACGCAGGTTACGCGCACCGACCCACCAAAGTATGTGTCAGTTGCGTGATGTTTTTTGAGCTTTGACACTCGAGGATACGAGCAAGCAGCTCTTGCCAGATTGCGAAGAGCCATGCTGCCTTCTATTCAAGCGATGGTGTTGAGAGTTTGAGCTGTGACTTGACAAAACTTATGCCTTCACTCTGGATGGCAGTGGCTTGGGAGCACTGCTATCTGAGTCTCACCAAGAAGCATAATTGTGCCTTTCAGCAAGTGTCCTCTGACCTTTGTTCATCTCCTCTTCTCCAAGCGAAGTAGCCAGGTGGTCAACTGGGCTGGGCAGCTGGGAACAGAGGCACACCTTTGAGATAGACAGGGATGGAACGAAGAGCGGAAAGCGCGGCTTTATCATGTTCGGTGGTGAGCTTGAAGCACGGAACAGGTGTAATTTTTGTGCTTGGTTGCTCTTGATTTTGGCCAGGCTGCATCGGTTCAAGATGATGTAGCAGCGGCAAAGACTGCGATAGGCGCACGTCAGTGCAGGATGTCCACTCAAAGCGCTCTCCGGGCAACGGCACACGCAAGGGGCAACTTCTCCATGGCCCCAAACCTAGAAGCGATGGCCTCCAACCTAAGAGCGATGGCCTCAAACCCAGGAGCCATGACCTCCAACGTAAGAGCGATGGCCTCCAACCTAAGAGCCATGACCTTCTGCACTCACACACGCACACACTCTTGATAGAATAGGCACGGTCGAATTCCACAGCCTGTTGAGACCTTGGTGGCAGGAGGATGCCTTAGTAAGGAACTCAAACGATCAGGAGCCCCACCGAAAGTGATGTGTCCTCCAGCTGCAAGTTAAATGCGCCCAGAAGCGGTACAAAGCAGGTACGAGATACTGCGTCCAGTATCTCATCCAACCGAACACCATAGCTTTGGTCGCTGTGCCCCTGCTTTAGAACTTAAGAAACGCATTTGATCCCCAGCTTTAACTGGGATGCCAACCAGCCAAATCACACCGCGCAAACTCTGATGTCGTTGCCACTATCAAATGTTTGAGGCCATTTTGCCAAGTCACTCCTTTCAAGCTCTTGTGAAAGTCACCACCAAACGTCAGACTCTTCAGGCCGTCGGGCCAAACCACACCCTTCCAACTTTGATTGAATTGTTCATAAAGCCCGAAGTTCATCAGCTTGTTAGGCCAAGTGATCTAAAGGGATGCCTTTGTTCCCAAAGTTTCAACACTCTGCTGCAAAATGCCGAATTAGACAGCTTTGTCCTTACGAAGGTTCAGTGCAACGCGATGGACAAGCAACCGATACAGTAGGTAGAAGTAAAAATAGTTCCACAGGGCGAGCGAGACAGAAGACAGATGAATCGCCCTAGGCAAGCTAGACAAGAAACAGAGAGCCTCCTGTTTTAGAACAAATCTCTCCATTAGGGTAGGGAGAAGGAAAGAGAGCCGACAGACAAGTCTGCCGGCAACTCTGCTTCCAGTTTGTGAGCGAGACTTAAGAATCGCTCCATAGGTAGTAGGCTTTAGAGTTCAGATGCACGTGCGCATTCAGGCGTCCCTGAATGCTTTCACCAGTCTTCCGTAGCTTCAGTGGGCAACGTGGGAAGATTGGCCGTTGCCCCCCTGTATGCGTGAACATTATGAGCATATTCCCTGAGAGACAGGGGGTGACACACTTAGACAGGGGTTCTTTCCAGTGCCAGAACCCACAGTGAAAGGAATGCTGCAACGGAAAGGTGGCTGAGCCCGCGGAACAGGAATGTTTGAACACAAGCAGTTTATACTGAATACTTAGCAGTTCCGAATTACGCCCGTGCACACTGGAGTAAGTTCCATCTGGAAGCGAGGCCAAAGGAATCGCTTCAAATAGGGTAGAAAACAGCTAGAAAAGGGAATGAAGTTTCCAGTTTGTAGCTAGGGGGCGAGACTTTCGAATCGCCCCATTAGAGTAGAAAGGGTCAACAGAAGGAAAGGAACCGATGCACGCAGTGCGCCGAGAACCCTTTCCTTGTGTTTCCCCGGGTAGCAGCGCAACGCCATTTCCACATCCTCAGATACATCGCCAGCTTCGTTGACCAGGCGACGATGCATCCTGCCTGGTCCCCTGCGTTCATTTGATAGAGGTCGAAAAGAGTTCAAAACCCTCGGAGCCTTGGGTACAGGGTGACAGCGCCGCATGGCGCTCACGCCGACGAAAACGTGAATAGCCACCTAACAAGCCTTAGAAAGGAAAGAAAGAATTGAAAGAGCAAAACGAAAAGGGCAAGAGAGAAAGATTGGTGTAGTGCGATGCATGTCTGCCGAACGAACGGCAAACCGTGGAGCCGAAACCTGAATAGCCACCTAACAAGCCTTAGAAAGGAAAGAAAGACAGAAAGAGAAAAACGAAGAGGGCAAGAGAGAAAGATAGGTGTAAACAATCCATGGAATGTGGAACTCGAAAGTGGACTTGTGGAATGCGCTGCAAGAATTCCCGTAAGCCCGGAGGCGTGGAATCCGTGAGCTCGGCAGCTTAGGCGTCTGTTGATTCATGGGTGAGACAAAGGTAATCCAAAACCATAATCCAAGAATGCAGGAACGCTAAATCGACGTGTGATAAAGCGTGGCGTCTGCGCCTTTTTTTGCGAGAGGATCACACTGCGCACCCAGGTGGGAAAGCGCAGCGAGTCACACTCAGACAACGGTTCATCCAGTGCCAGAATCCACAGTGAAAGGAATGCTGTAACGGAAAGGTGGCTGAGTCCGCGGAACAGGAGTGTTTGGACACAGGTGGTTTCACTTGACTGCAGTTTAGTTACTGAATACTTAGTGGTTCCGAATTACAGCCGTGCACACTGGAGTAAGTTCCATCTAGAAGCGAGGCCAAAGGAATCGCTTCAAATAGGGTAGAAAACAGCTAGAAAAGGGAATGAAGTTTCCAGTTTGTAGCTAGGGGGCGAGACTTTCGAATCGCCCCATTAGAGTAGAAAGGGTCAACAAAAGGAAAGGAACCGATGCACGCAGTGCGCCGAGAACCATTTCCTTCTGTTTCCCCGGGTAGCAGCGCAGATACGTGGAAATGGCGTCCCATTTCCATATCCTCAGATACATCGCCAGCTTCGTTGACCAGGCGACGATGCATCCTGCCTGGTCCCCTGCGTTCATTTGATAGAGGTCGAAAAGAGTTCAAAACCCTTGGGTACAGGGTGTGACACGCACACACACTCTTTCTAAACTTTTCCTGCGTAATCCATGGTTTTCAAAAGGCTTGTCCTCTGGCAAATATAGAGGCCGTTTTTCACACACATTGCAACAGCTGGGAAGGTCTGATCGCACCAACCGTGGCCAAACCTTGGTGGCGTTGGTGAATGAGGGGGAGTGACAGGAATGTAAGATAAACCTCGGGACCGGGGTACGCAGAGTTTGGCGCGTTTGTGATTGTATTCTGCTTGAACCCTTCAGTGCGATGAAAAAATCCCAATGTTTTGCACCAGGCTGGGCCTTGGCTAGCTGTGCAGCGCCCATCCTCGACAGTGGCAATGTGCACACCTTAGATGGCAGATGTGGACGTTGTGAATGCTGCGTTCTCCTTGCAGGTGAGCTCAGACGTACTCAAGATTGCACGGAGAGATATGAAAGAGGCGGAGGAACCATTCGGGTGCATTTCGTCGCGAGGCATTCCTCGTTGGAAGTGATTCAGGTGATTCTGTGTTTTTGGACCACAGACGTTCATCAGACCTCAGATGGTGGTACGGAAACGTTAGCCGCTAGCAGGAGCATTGCCAATGGCTTGAATCGCATGGCCATTCAGGCAAGGCACTGTCCCAGCCAAGATTGGGCTTTAAGGAGTCGCTTCTGATCATTTGATTAGATCTTTGCACTGTCTTGATTTTGAGATGCTTTGAAACAGGTGCTCATCTTTTGCGCGCCAAGATCCTGGTGGCCAATGATGATGATTTCGCCGGGGTTGGGTCCCAAGAAGTCTGCAGTATCAACAAGCGACGCCAGGTGAACATTGAATGAAACCATCACCAGTAGAGATATTATAGATGAAGTTTGAAGTTCGAGGTCTGAACACGAACCTAAACAGGATAAACAATCTTGCAGCCATCTATATAAGGCCGTGATTGGTTTCAAGCTTTGTGCTGCAGCTTTGGCTACTATTTGTGAGCACAGCCGTTTTTGACCATGCGTTGTGTGTTTGCCATTTTGCCATGGCTTGCTGCAGCCTCTGGAAATATGAATGGAAAGTACAGTGTTGCCACTGGAGATCGACAGGAGCAGATTGGAGAGTGACATGTGTTCCTTTTCCGTGGCATTTGCTATGTTTTACACAAAGATGTCAGTGCAATGCATACAGCTGCATCTGTACATGAAACATGTCACATCGTTTCACTTGATTGGTAGCTTACGGTATTGTTGGATGTGAGGATGTTGGCTTCAATGATGACTATGCATCAAAGGGTCACGAATTCTTCGATGTTTGGGCGCCTGAGATAGCCACTCACTACGGGGAGGTGTTTTGGACAGATCAGGGAAATCAGCCCTTGCCGAAGGAGATCGTGAAGCGTTTTGAGGGCAAGGTCATGGCAATTACAGGCTATGAGATGGACCAAGTGATGGTGAATCCTGTGGGTCAACCAGGTGTAAACCCAAAAGATGATGTCTCGGTGCCAATTAATTGGGCTTACAACCACCACTACATGGCGTTCATGACAGGCACCCATTCTGAGCTCAAGAAAGTCTTTGCAGCACCAGGAGATCCAATGGCCCATGGGGCCACAACGAAGTGGATTGCCATTGACAAGCCATCCGCAGCTGGCCGCAAGGACACCTCTATCCCTACTTCCCAATTCTTCTCTGAAGGAAATGGCGGAGAATCTCGAAAGTCATTCCATGGGTATCCAGATGGATTTGCCCAGCTGATTGACTCACCAAATATGTGGCATATCACTCCGATGCAAATTGACACAAGAAACCGTGACTGTGGTGTCACTCCAGTTGACATCAACAACTGCACAAAGTTTGCCCCTGGACCTGAACCCAAACAGGCAAGATATGGGCTGGGAACCCCTGCAGACACGAACTACAGTGGGCTCCTGGAGTGCCCTTGCAATTCCAGGTATGGAGGTGATCCTATGTTTTACCCGGAAGCCAAGAGCAAGATCATTGAGCATAAGTATGTACTGGGATCCGGAGCATGTAAGAGTGGCCAGGCTGTAGCAGATGCCTCAAGTTGCTTCACTGGCGCAGAAACGCTTGGACTCAATGCTTCACACTTCATCAATCAAACATTGTCAGACCCAAAGCTACCCCCTGGTTGTTCCATTACCAGGCTTGCCAACAACACCATTGTTGTACGCTTCAACAGTGATGGGCAAGGGAACTGCAGCTCCTCTAGTAAGCGCTCTGGAGAGGGAACCTCTAGGGTTGGCGTGAAGCTGGCAATTGAGCTCGACAGCAGCGGCATGTTCAAGATGTCTCCTGCTGGACAATACTGCAGCCAGAATCGTGCAAACAAAATCAAGTCATTCCAAATGCAAAGCTCCACCTTACAGGCAGCAAAAGAAGCCCGCGATCAATGCCAACAGTTCTGCTGGACAAGTTCAGCATGCTGGGGTTGCAGTGTGGATTGCAACTTGCCTCAACAAACAGCCTGCGAGCCAAGAAATCCAGGTGATCCATTGGCTTTGGCACAAGTCTACAACCACCATTCCAGAGGTTTGTGTTTTTTTTTCCATGTAAGACCAGAATACTTTTGTATACTTTTGTGCAATTTTGCTTTGCTTGCTGTGAGGCGAGACGGAACCATATGCCTATGGTGCTCCCTTTACAGCTTGCCAGTGGAATGCCGTCACATCTTGTGGAAAAGTAGAAGCATGGGCTGGCTCCGTGGAAGGGGATGTTAGTTGCCCGCTGAAGACATAGTCTATGTTTTTGCTTGAGGTTGTAAGCATGAAGTGCTGGGATTGTTCAACCTCTGTAGTTGTATATCATGTTGTATAGATTTGCATCTAACTTGCTTGGCTGTTGTCATGCTGCGAAGGTGAAAAGCAAGATGGTGGCAGTGCAAAGATTACCATGTCTGGCCCCGCCAACGCTTGGTTTGGCGCAGGCTTCAATGCTTCAGCAATGGCCGATAGCCCATACACGCTTGTGGTGAATGGCGATGGAGTGACCGAGCGGAAGATCGGTACTTGTGGCAGCGAAGCCGAGCATTGCCCTGGCACTCAGCTTCGTACAAGCGTCAAGGTCGTGTCCAATTCCGTTGTCAAAGGCATTCGCACGGTCGTGATGACCCGCGGCCTAAGCGGAATTTCCAAGGATCACTATTCCTTTGATCCATTTTCAGACGAAACCATAAACTTTATCACTGCAGTGGGTTCCTCGCAGACATTTGCCTATCATCGGGCACATGGACCAATGGAGGTAGCTCTTACCAGTGTTGGCTCCAGCTCTTGCGTTTGTGATGCTGGCTTGGTTGGACGGCTTTGTGAATCTGGTGGCACAAACTGCCATGAATTTGTGAAAGATTGTGTGCCCTTTCCTGCTGGCGACTTGGCGGCGCAGATGAACCCGACCTGCAACGCCCGGCAGTATTCTGGTGGGCTCAATTGCTGCCATCACAAACGCATCATGTTGGATGCCGACCAGGAAATCCGTCCCGAGCTTTTGCGGTACCATATGAAGTTCCGCTTTTGGTTTCAAGAATACAAAGCCAAGGATGACAAGACCTCACATTTTGATTTGCCTCGGATATACTATCAGACAGAGGCCCATGCTGGAGAATACGATATCCCTCCAGCCTTTGCAAGGCCAGGACATCCAATTGTCGGCTACCCCGACTGGCCCATCAACAAACCGACACCTGGTACAAGCTGCACTGGAACTTGCCCAGATGGCCCAGACTGCGAGTGTGTGCACACGATCACGTTCTTTGTTCTGCAAGTTGCACATTGCACATGTTTTTTTTTATTACGTAATCCAATGCTTTGCGCTTGTATAAATGGCTCGCTCCCACACGATACTTGCGGAGGTACCATTGGACTGTCAGCAACATTCGCCTGATATATGCTGGCGGACATTGCCATGCTCCCAGCTGCCTGTCGATTGAGCTCTACCACAACTTGACCGGCACACCAAAGCTCTTGTGTCGTCAGCTCCCCAAGTATGGCCAGGGTAACTTCCCCAAGGACAAGTGGTTCATCCCTTGTGAATACCACACTGCGCCTTCTGTCTGGTCCAGTTTGACCCATGTCCTGGAACATGGTTCTTGAATCACACAAATAGATGTGCTCAATAGATGTTCTACAGATTTCAAGAGCACATGCACGGCACATGCAGACATAATATGATCAACAGCTGGACAGGACAAGTGGGATGAAGCTGGCTATGTTACTTTGCCTCCATGCTTGTGGAGTGATGAGGATCCCAGTCTAGAAGACACCGTTTGGCTTCCAGCAGACACACCATTAATTTCCATCAAGAAGAACAACAACACCCATTTGGGACACTTTGGCCTCTTGGCCCTTTGCTATTTGCTCAGGTAAGGAGCTACTAGTAGCGTCCGATCGCTCCTAGTAGTGATGCTCTTTGCTACTAGTAGCTATTTGCTACTAGTTCTATTTTTTAATTCGTCCATTTGTTGCTCCAAGCCTTTACTTTACCCAATCCATATTGGATCTGCTCCCGACAGCTTACTTACAACCCAGGAGAAATGGCTTCGTGGCAGATGCGGGGTGTGAACTTCCCAGCAAGTCCTCCCACATACATTTGATTCTGCGGGAGTGGCTGAAGACCATCAGACCACAAGTGTTCTGTAGCCTACTGGCATGAGCCAAGATCTTTTAACTGGAGAAAAGGTGAAGTATTCTTTTCCATGATTGAAGAGTTCAACTTGCTAGAAGCCACAAGCATTACAGCCGCTCATTTTGCACCAACATGGTCCTGGCACTTGTAGGCACACAAGCAACTCATAGAAGCTCAGAAGCAGCTTCCAGATGACAAACGTGTCGGAGGACCAAGATGGACCAAGAGGAGCTTCAAAGATGCTGTCGTTTTGTTCTTCTCTTGACCTGAGGTGCAAGAAGAGTTGCGAAAGGTGAAGATTGAGTTGCGCCACAAGCTGAGAAGCTTAAAGACCTGAAATGGTGATGCGGCGCAACGATACTTGTGGAGTTTTTGCCCAAGGAAAGGAGGAAGAACAACAAAGCCGGTCAAAGGCAGAAAAGAGTAATGAAATGTGTCACTTGCTATGAAGAAGCTCTTTGGCCCCCTACTTACTTGCTAGGACTGCCCTTAGAGAGGCCATCCTAATGATTTAGACTTTGCAGGTGGTTGAGATCAGAGATGGATTGAAGAGGCCACGCAGACCCACATTCTTCCTGTGACATGAGAACAGGGCACTCTCAAATCCAATGTCACAATCAAGCACAGCCTCCAATGACTTTTTACATTTGCAGGTTTGTTTATATATTTGCTCCAAAAGGATCAACTTGAACCTCATGACGTGTCCATCGGGGCTGACTTGCAGGGCTCGCACGGAAGGAGGCGAAGTACTTCCCTTGCTCAGGTGGGATACAACCCGACATTTGTAGGGATTGTCTGTAGTAGCAAAGTGGCTACAAATAGCGATGTACTTGTTCCTAGTATCGATGCCGCTACTAGTAGCTTCTTGTTACTAGTAGCAAGGCCAGGAGCTACTAGTAGCGTCCTTTCTCCTAGTAGCGATGCACTTGTTCCTAGTAGCTTATTGTTTCTAATAGCGTATCGACATCGAAGGAGTCCGAAGTTCGAAGAGTCCCAATGCCCTCTCCCATTCTCTCTGAGGCAGCTCTCAGAGACACGATGCTCGTGGGACACCGTCATGGACCGGAGCTTCGCTATTTTCGATGATCGTTTGAACTCAAAGAGTGGCTTTACCGGAGTCTGCGCAATCTGACACGGTGAGACGCTCGGAGAGTGCTAGGAGACACGTATTGGTGTCGAGCTCAAGAACTGTGAGGCTGGGCTTTCTGGCAAGCAAGGCTTAAGAGTCAAACACCAAGCAAAATAGGGTTCTGTGCATAGCAGATTCTCTATGAGATTCTGTGATTTAATTCTGCATGACCACATTGCCTCTATTGCCAGGATTGTGGTGAAGAAGCTACGAAGTGCGGGATTTGGACAGTACTGTAGCTATTTTTGTGTGTCCAGGGTGTGCGTTTGTCTTTGAGGCTTTGCCAGGAGATCCTTGCTAGGATGAAGGATGAGTCAAAAGAGTTTGGAGCCTAGAGAAGCCGCAGCTCGAATGAATAAACATGCGAAACATATATATATATATATATATGTGGCATGTACATTGTGAATGTTCAATGAATGAACATGGTCCATCAGCTACACGAATGCCCATCCACCAAAACGGTGGCTCAAGCTGGACGAAGCCAAGGACACAAAGGGCCGCAAGTGTAGGATCACTTAGGAGGAAGATCACACAGGGCGTATCATTCAGATTGGTAGCGGAGCCTTCGGGCTGCCACCTAGGAAGTCTAGGACAGACCATTGGGCAATGAATCTAATCCTAGGATTTTTGGTACGCAGGGCAACCCAATTTTCTGTTGAGCTTTCATCACCCCGACTAGCAAGAGCCATGTCGGGAGAGGAGGCGCAAGCAGCGGGATGCAGTGGAGGGACCAATGGGAACTCCACCCTTCCATGGAATCAAACTCCAAGTTTCCAGCCAGGGGTGACCGACATGCGTGTCTACAGCCGCAAACTGTCCTTTCTCAGGGACATCTGGCCAGCCGAATCAGTGGAACACCTAGCACCACCAAGGATGGTGTCAAGCTCTTGGTTCAGGCCTTGGGAGGCAATGGGGACAGCTGGGAGAAGAGGTGAGATTCCAGTCGTTTGAGAAGGCAATTTTCCAGACCTCTCAAAAGGCGGACGAAAGCAAGCAGCGACAGCTATTTAACAAGGCATGACAACGCCTTCGAGGACCTCATGGGAGCAAACGTGACGGTTGAGGACATTCGAGCCTACATCCTGGTCCGACAGCCCAACCTATCCATGGATGATCGCAAGAAAATCATCACGGAAAACCATGGGAACCCCACCTATGAGACAGCCCGGAAGGGGCTGAGACTCCTTGGGGCCAAGTTCTTCAATGAGCTCCAACAGAACCAGTCCGGAAAGAACTGGAAAACCTATGACTGCAACTACATCGAAAACGAGGAGGAGGAGGTCCTAATGACTGAAGAGGGTGACTATGGTGAATGGGACGAGGAATGGGTCTACCAGGCCCTCTTGGAAGAAGGAGATGAACACGCGCAATTCTGCCACGAATTTGAGGAGCAGATCATGCCCACATGCCAGGAGAGCAGCGAGCTATCATCGTGCTTCATCACGTACCAAGAGGCACGGCAGAAGATCAAGGACAAGGCTCGTTCAAGGGGCTTCCAGTTGGAACAGGGGAAAAGGGAAAAGGAAAGTCCAAGGCGAAGTTCAAAGCCAACAAAGGCTCTACTTACTCCAAGAAGCGCTTGGCGGACAGAATAGCCAGTTCCACCTGCAGGAAAAGTCTCCAACCAGGACATTGGAAGCGAGAATGTCCAAACCCACCTCACCCATCGTTTCACAACATATCCACGGAGATGATCACCATGACCGTGGAGCAGAGTCCGGTGAACTATGACCATGGCGAACTCCTTGCTGACCTGCCAGAGAACACGGAGATCATCAACCTGACCACCATCCAGGAGAGAGTTCAAATGAGTTTTAAATTGAGAGTGATAGTGATAGTGTTTATAATCCTTATAAGTTTGTACATAGGATCTCAAGCGACTTGGAAGAATTTGTCATGGAAGAGTTTTCAAAACAGTTGACCAATCGCCTTCAACGCTGCTGTAGGAAGTTGCAGGTCCAGCTAGTTCAATCCTTCCTCCAGGAAGCCGTAGAATGGCCAGCGCGGAGGTAGAAAACCTCCTATTTTCCGAAGAAGAGAGCCACATTGCAATTTTAGATACCGGAGCAAGTCGGACTTGTTGGGTAAAGAAGGCTTGAGAGGTTGTTGAAGTGTTTGAAGAGCACCATCAGAAAGCAAGTTCGAAAGGTAAGTTCCTCCGGAGTCACCTTCAAGTTTGGCAATGATGGCACCCTTGAGAGCACATACGCAGTGCTCCTGCCACGGAAAAATGGAGGCTGGATCAAGGTGGAAGTGATTCCTGGAAACGCACCCTTTCTACTTTCTAATTCACTCCTCCGAAAACTAAAGGGGGTAGTGTTGATGTGGAAGGGCGAAGACTCATGTTCAAAGGGGAGAATTTTGGAATTTACCTCATCGTGAATGTAGGAAACACCTGCTAGGACTTAGTTTTCATGATCTTCTAGATGGACCATGGAAGGATCAACAGGTTCTCCTAACCAACGAAACAGAGGTAGGTGAAACCAATCAGCATGAGAACACGGAATCATCAAGCGCCCACACTCCAGGGGCCACCCAAGACATGAAGCAGTCCAGCGTGCGTGAACAACAGAATTCAGAATGCTTTTTCTTAGCAGCCGCATCAAAGTGGTCAAGACTCGCGTATGGTCAACGAAGAGCTCAATGGCCAACTCCTACATGACCAATGTCTTGGACATCCCAGTGGACCACTCCTTGATGACCAAGATGCCACACCAGGAAACCAGTTTTGTGGTGAAACCACACTTGAGGAGGGGGGACAAACGAAGCTTCCCAGTGGCAAGTGGGCCGGACAGACGTTTCAGCAGGTCTACGATCGCCGCCAGGACTGTGTCAACCAGATCTACAACCGAAAGGCAGAGGCACCATGCCTTCGAAACTTCAAGATGCTCTGTCGAGCTCACAAGGAGACGAAGCCAAAGGCAACGCCTCCAGAAGCTCCCCAGCCAGGACTACCAATGGCCCAGAACGAGGCCGCCCCAGTCCCCGAAGAAAGGCGCCCAATATCCATTCCACCCAAGCCAGTCAAGAAGCTCACCCAAAGGAGTTGACGCTCCAACCACAACCTGTCGGGGACCAAGAGCCACTTGGAACAACCCGTGGGATCAGAGATGAACCATCAACCAGAGCTCAGCGACGCAGCGCTGGGCACTCTTCCCGCCACCTCCGACATGCGTCAAGTGGGCCAATTGCATCTTCCACGATCCAAGAAATTGAAAAGGAACTCAAGTCCATACCGCAAGCAGACACTTATGGCAAGAACTGCGTGGACACCGTTGCACACACCAGCGTGAACACGAACCCATCAAGGGGAAATTCAAGACAGCGCGCAAGCGGGAAAACGTCTCCACCTTTGCACAGAACTACGCAGGCATGCTTGGTAGGAGGGTTGCAAAGGTTTCAAGGGGGCTATTTCAACAGCCCAAGTGTGCACGTGGGCGCATGTGGTCATATGCTACGCAAACCTTTCAGAACGCCTGCGCGTTCTCACTAAAAGGGTGTGTTTCCGGCCGAAAGTAACGATGCTTAGTTTGTCACATAAAAGATGGAAGCGACACCAGGCACACCATCCCACTCAAAAACCTAAATCACATAACAGCGTCCACGTCAAAGGCAGGCAAGAAAATGACAAGGCGGCAGCGGCAGCCAAGAGCGAAATCACGAACAGAGACAAACTTGGGCGACAAGGCGGCAGCGGCAGCCAAGAGCGAAATCATGAAGGAAGACAAGCTTGGGAGACAAGGCGGCAGCGGCGGCCAAGAGTGAAAATATGAAGAAGGACAAGCTTCACAGACAAGGCGGCAGCGGCAGCCAAAAGCGAAATCA